CTCTTACCTTATTATAATACTACTAGGTTTAAAACCCGCGCTACGCTGCGGGTATTTTTCTTAAATTGTGTTTTAGCTCTAATTTAGACAAAAAAAAATTTATACTTTAATTTTAAAATGTCAATACTTAATCAATACTACAAGGTATGTTTTAATTTTTGTATATTTAAATTTGATGTAATATTTAACATTGAACCATTTCAAATGAATTATGCCATTCTCATTGGTCTTTTCACTCGCAATTCATATTTTATCGCTCCAGTCCAAGTTAGTGCATAGTAACCATCATAGGACAAAAACATATAATAAACAACAAAATGTACTAAATTCATATTTCAAACTATATGAATGACTAACACCAAATCTCAGTAGCTTTACATATTGCATATGGATCCATACACGATCCTACTGAAACTTAGTGATCCACCAAAAACATAAGATCAATAAATTATAATAAGGAGCAGAAACGTTTTCAGAAAAGGAAAAAAAATCTGATCAAGATTCCTACACTCATTAAAATGATGCTATAGTTGAAATGAAATTGGGGCCTTGTTGACATGTAATTCTTCGTTGGATCATAAGGTGCCAACAAAGGATCCACTTGATTAAACTCAAACACATGTAATGTGTAAGACACAGAAGGAGGGAGAGGGCTGATCTTGAAGCTTGTACCATCAAGCTGCTTCTTTTTATGGATGCAAATCTGCTCATGATCTTCATCTTTCCCAATTATGCCCGTTATACATCACAAAATGTGACAGATGACCAAACATGATGATGAGTTTTGTGAAAGGATCGAGACACTTCGTTTTTATCCGACAAGATCTTCTTCCTTGGCGATGGATTGATCTCGTAAACAGCTAAAATTGTCGGTAAGATAAAGTGTTTCGAACCTTTTGATCCTTCTCGTTCTGGTTCTCTTTATCTCCAAACTCAACACGATTTCATTCTCTACCAATTGAGTGTAATAAATCGTATTATGAATCTTCATAAATCGAAGTTGATTAATCGAAGTTCCAATCAGAATGTCAACATCACTCATTACTTCCCACACGTTTGTGTAACGCCCGTCAGGCCCTTTGTTCAGTTTCTTCAGTGCTTCTTAACAGCAAGCTTCCTCGCCTCTTTACCAGGTGAAAGCTTCTTAGGTTCATTCTCAGATTTCAACAACTCTTAGATTTTCTATACTTTGGCTTCTCCTTAAACTAAAACAACTTCTCTATGTATGTATCAGATGCCTCATTCGGCCATGGCTCTGTTGGAATATCGTCATCGTCATCACCTTCATTGCTAGTCACGTCATCACTTCCTGACAAAACACTTTATAATTCATCACTATCACTTGCATCAATTAGATCAGAGCTATCTCTAACTTGTTGTCTAGCTTTTTTCTTCCCCATTTTCAAGGCGGATTCTTCCACTTTCTTGTTTTGTATTATCATCGCCTTCGTCTTCACTTCCTCACTGTTAAGTTCTATGGGCTTCCAACTCAAAACCAATTGGCAATGAGTGGAGTGGCCCATATCCCTTTATATATTACTTAGGATCCCTTCCAACTTCCGATGTGGGACATTATGTCCTAATACGCCCCCTCGAGATGATGGCTCTTTGGCCATTAATCTCGGAATATTCGGGCTTAGATCGACGGCATCAATTTTGGGCCTTGTCGATGATTGGACCATCTTTGGGTCGGATCGGGTTGGACATGTGTGGATCGGGCTCTGATACCATGTTAAGTTCTATGGGCTTCCAACTCAAAACCAATTGGCAATGAGTGGAGTGGCCCATATCCCTTTATATATTACTTAGGATCCCTTCCAACTTCCGATGTGGGACATTATGTCCTAATACTCACCATAGACTATTATCATCCCCCATTTCCTTCCATGCTTTTCTGAAGTCATCATCACGTGGTTTCACATCACCAAATAAATTGTAGTCTCTACCTCTTCCACTTGCATATGATCAAGTTGCTGCAAGAAAGTGAAACAAAACATCACTAATAACCGAACACTGTCGAATATTGAGAACAATTCATTACATTAAAATCAAGGATGAACATACAATTAGTAACGAATGAGTGTCTTAGATTTATCACAAATGAATTGTTTGTAGTTCCTGATCAAACAACAATGGGGGTAGAGAAAGTATGTGTAAAATATATGCCACAATCGTTATTTAGAGCTGATTGTATTATGGAATTGATCATTTCATGAACTTATGGAGCTCACATAACCTAAAACCAATTCCTTAGATTAGCTTCTACTATTTTTTTTCATGTTTTGTCCTATCTAGGACTAATAAATTATCAGCTTCATACCACTCTGTAGTCCAGTCCAACAAAAACTAAACTTTAAGAGTCGTAAACATATTAATTCTCTGCGGCATTTCCACAAACACCTGGTCTACTACTTGGACGAATTTGAACCAAAAAGGTAAAGACCCTAAGATACGAACATAGTCGGAGATAGTATAGAAGCTTAGAGATCAAAACATGTTGGAGAAATAAAACCTTCTTTTTCATTAAAAAAAGAAAGAAATGAAACCTTAAATTCTAATGAAACCCAGCAAATATCCAATTTGGGGCAGATAATGATGGACAAGAAATTCAGCTACTTTGCCCAGAGGAACTACATTAGCTCTGAATCTACATCAGCTCATTTCGTTACCTGGCAACTCAAAGTAGTTGGATCAGACCAGAACAAATCAAAGTTGTCTGGACATTGTGCAATCGTCGGAACCGAAGATGTCGAAAAAAATATTTTTAGCTCCTTAAGGGAAATTTACATCAACCCATAATTTGCAAAGTTTCTCGTCACAGATATGGAAGAAGATGCAAGGAGAGAAACAATTTCGTTATTTTGGGAAGAATTGTGTTTACAAAGATGAAGTTGAAATCGAGTCTATCATCGGAGAGAAAAGAACAATGCCTCCACCTTGGCAAATTTTGAGCTGAGCTGTATTATTTGTTATATTTTGAATGGTGAAGTCATTTAACTGATGTGTCAGCTCCAGGATGCACAAAAAAGCTGAGGTGTCAGGCCTGGAGAGACTCTTAGTAATTTTATTGTATTGATTATAATTATCATAAGATCTATCTTTAAAGATATCCCCATAAATATGCCCTAATATCACATTATTATTATTATATCATGTAGTACCTACTTGCATTTGTTGTACATTCATTTCTAGAGAAGTTTGTTGCTGTTTAATTGAAAAATAGAGTTTTGTTGTGTTTGGGAGTTATTTTAAAAATTTGTATATATATATATATACAAAAACTATTTCTATTATTTATCCAAAACAATTCTTTTTTCTTGGTTCACATTATGCATTATAAATTCTATTTCATGCATTCCAATATTTGGGGTTTCAGTTTTCTTAAGATCTGTATGCATGATATTATTTCACTTTTAATATTGAATTTTAATATATGCTTTTGCAGTATTTGATAACTTTCAAGTTTCATGAGCTTCCAATTTGAAACTAACAACTATATATAGTTCAAAAAAGTTTTATATGTCGCTTAGATATATTTGTATGTTTTACTTAAAATAATAAATTTTATAGCCATTGGTCTTAACATAAACCACAATAAGATTATTTTGTGTTAGATCAGTTGGAGCAATTTTGGATTAGATCCATCTGTCATTTTGAGTGGGATCGATTTCGGTTAAAAGTTAATGTGTGTTTTGATCATGAATCATGTTAAGTTTCATAAACTTCTAACTTATATAGTCAACTCACAATAAATAAATTTATCCATGTTTTTTATTATATCACTCAAAGTGTTTCCTCACTTCCAATATGAGATATTTCTCACAATAACATCATAACTATCACTACTTGTTTATTTTCTGAAATGTGATTTTTCTAAGTATCATATAAATGTACAAAGTACGAATACAATAGTTGATGTTTTTTTTCCTCTCGTTTATACATACATGTATATCTTTTTTTGGTATATATATATATATATATATATATATACTTGTTTTCTTGTGTTTTTTATTTCAATCCAACAATAATTTGATTTTAGATGATACAAGTTTTTGTCACGAGCTTCTATGAAATTTTGTGTTAATCATAAATATATAGACGAACAATGTAGATAGACATGGCTATCATCTATGCATACGGACGAACCCTTTTATACGTACGCATGATTATTGAATATACCTACAAATATAAACTTGTGAGCCGTGAGCGTAAGTTATTCCCTTTTATATACGCATGGTTATTTCAATACCGACGAATGACGATTGTGATTCATGTTTTCAAGAATTAATAAAGTTTAAACCATGGAATGCGTAATCCAATATTCATCTTTTATCCTAAGGAAAAAAAAAACTGGATATCATTATCATATATTTATTCATCATATTAAACCAAACCAATGATTTAAGTCGAAAATGACAGCTTTCAAGCTTTGCTTATTGGCCAAATCTTTAGAAAAGAAAACTAAAAGAAGAAAATATTAAAACCGAACTGGTGAAGTCTCGTGCTATCACGTGCATGTAGCCAGTCAGCCAGATACAAGGACAGAGACATCATCAGGTGCGTGATGGACCACCGTAGTCATTCCCTACAGCCATACACGTGGCCTTTGTACATCTAATAGTCAAGCATATGGTCAACGGGAAAAATGTCGTTTAATAGCCGAACTTTCAAAAAATGGCCGTTTAATACGTGAACTTCTCATGTGGCCAGTTTAAACATGAACTTAACGTTGACCGGCCATTTTAACTAAATGTAGTCGTTGACTACGCCAAAAAACCACACCGTTAGCAGTCACTAACTGAGCCGATAACGGCCGTTTAACCCTCGTTAATGAGTCTCCGTTAGACCGAAAACGACGTCGTTTTACTCTTAAACCAAACCCCAAAATCGAAATCGATTTTATCCCCTTTCATAAACCTCAAATCCCTAAATTTCAATTCTTTGAGCTTTCAATCTCTCACTTCATCGTTCCCAATTTTAATTTCTTTGAGCTTTCAATCTCAATCTTCATCGAATTCTCGAGAGTGAGCTCAAGAAATGAGTTGCAGTTCTGGGAATTCTTGTGTTAAAGACGGTGGATGTGGCTTCCGTGGGTTTCCTTCGAAGTGTCATTGCGGGCTAGACGTCGTCATCTATACATCGGCGACGAAGCAGAACCCTGGAAGACCTTTCTTCCGTTGTCCAACCAAACAAGATGTAAGTAGATTTGATTTTATATCTTCTTGTGTTTTGAAAATTGTTCATAATTTGTTTGTAAATGCACAGGATCATTTGTTTAAATGGGTCGAAGATGGTGTATACGAGGAGGTTGTTGATGCTCTTCCAAAATTCTCCATCATTGACAGCCAAATAGAGAATGCCAAATCTGAAGTTGCTGTCGAGATTGAAGAGTTAAAGGTCATGATCAAAGAATTGAAGGACGAAGGAATGTGGAGCAAAAGGGAAATAAAGAAATGGAAAACGATGATCAAAGTGTGTTTAGTGAGCCTTTGTGTTGCTGTCATTGTCTTTGTTATCCTACTGTTTGGTGTTGGAGACAAAAGACATAGGTTAGTTCTTGGTTACTAGGTGTGCATTAGTGTCTTATTTGGTTTGTGTCTTCAACATCTTTGAATATCCTGACCTTACACATACATGCTCATTGATATATCTTTTTATTTGCATCTTATGCTTCCTCTTCTCATATGCACAATAAACTTTCCATGAACATTCAACACCTTCATCATCTACATAACAACACTTCGCAGCAACAACCATAGCTTCAGACCTATAGAGCTTAATGTCATACCTTGTCTTTAAAGAGTACATCAAAAGTGCAAGCTTGAAGTCTTCGGGAGAGTTGTAAGTTTTCTCCAATTCTAGCAAAACCTCTGGATCATCAGAACCTCTACCAGCTTCCTCTTCTCTAGCTTTGTCTTCATCTTCGTCATCAGATGACAAAGGATCTGGAATCTTGTCTTCGTCCCATATATCATCACCGCTATCCGAGTCACTAGCAGCTTCATCTCCTCTAACAGCCTCTGGGAAATCTTCTGAAATGTTGAAGTTCATATCTTCTTCAACAGCTGCTGCATCATCATCGCTATCTCCACCACCTGTTGCATCAACTCCACCACCTGTTGCATCAACTCCACCACTTGTTGCATCAACACCACCATTATCATCGTTACCTTCACCAGCTGCTACATCGACTTGAGTTTCAACTCCAGCATCCACATCATCACCGCCTACTGCGTCATCAACAGCATCGCAGTCTTCATCACCATACACCGCACAGTCATCTTCTTTGTCGGGGACGGGGTCAGGTTCATTTTCAGGATCTTCATCAACCTCTAAAGCTCTGACTTTTCTTCGTTTTCGACGCCTGCCTGGACCACGAGCTGTCTCTGAAACGCCTTCCGCCGGTGGAGCTTGAACTTCGTCCCCGACGACCATCTCCGATTCGACTCGGGCTTCAGCTTCAACACTCTCTGCTTCGCCTCGTATAGGAGATCCAATCCTCGTTATGGCGCCATTCTTCCGAACTAAGACCATTTGGGAAAACAATTTGAAGTTTGGGGATTTCTAGGATTAGGGTTCTTAATTTGGGGTTTTGAGAAATATTAGGGATTTCAAAATCGATTTGGGGATTTGACTTTGGTTAGGTGTAAAACGACATCGTTTATATTAATAACGGAATGGTTAACGAGTGTAAACGTCCGTTAGCGGATCTGTTAACGACAGATAACGGTGTGGCGTTTTGGCCTGGTCAACGCGTTCATCTTGTTAAAATGGCCAGTCAACTTTAAGTTTATGATTAAATTGGCCACATGAGAAGTTCACGTATTAAACGGCCATTTTTTGAAAGTTCGGCTATTAAACGACATTTTTCCCTATGGTCAACACTCTCTTCATCTGGGCTTCCTTACATCATTCAATTTCAAACCCTACCATTTTTTTTTGTTTATTAGAGGCCCAATTGTATATAAGTCAAAACAGTTTTAAATGGGCCTTTCAAGGGTTATTCCCAGCCCAATATTTCTGGAGCTAGGTTTATTTATCGTCGCCACTCGCCACCAAAGAAATTTGCCGAGGAATTCTAAATCGCAGTCTGAGGTATTTATCTTGATCTTCAAACGTTTCCAACACCTAAAGGCTTTTTCTTTACAGATTTCTCACCAATCTTCGGTTTTATTGTGCTCTTACGATACGCATATGTCAGTAAATTTAGTGGCCATTTAGGAATTTTCTCGTTTGATTTCTTGTTGTTGAGATTTGAATCTGTTGTTTATTGTTTTTGTGATTACTTGGTTTTGCAGAGACAATGTCGACTGTCGGAGAACTTGCTTGCAGCTACGCTGTTATGATCCTTGAGGACGAGGGCATTGCCATCACTGTATCCTTAAATCTGTGACTTTTTCTTAATCTCGTTTCCTAGCTATTTGTTGCTGTCTCTTGCTTTGGTTGGATTCGTTTTCATTATCGAGACAACATAGTGCAGAAATGAGTGTTTATTTTAGGGTTTATATGGAGCTCTCTTTTGATTCTATAGTCATTACCAAGATTCATGTTTGTTTTGGTCCAGTCATTAGTCTTGTTCTTTTAGGTGTTTTGTAGCATCATTTTAGATTTTTAGACATTGATCATTGTTGGGTAGTGTATTAGATGACCTATCTCTAAAGTTGCTGGTGTAGGGTTAGGGTTAGAATATGTGAAACATGTTTATTCTATTAGTTTTGTCTTGTTGGTTCAATGTTTTGGTTAGGTATTTGATCAGTTCTTTAACATTGATGTTTATTTTGATTATTGAGCGTCATTACCCTAATTCAAGAAGCATGTGTATGTCTTTGTTTTGTACCCTTAACCTTATTATTATTAGTCTGATAAGATTGCGACTTTGGTCAAAGCTGCTGGTGTTGAGGTTGAGTCTTTCTGGCCAATGCTATTTGCCAAGATGGCTGAAAAGAGAAATGTCACCGACCTCATCATGAATGTTGGTGCCGGTGGTGGTGGTGGCAGTGCCCCAGTGTCTGCTGCCGCACCTGCTGCTGCTGGAGGAGCTGCTGCTGCCGCCCCTGCTAAGGAGGAGAAGAAGGTACAAAATTAAAGAACAAAAACATGAAATTGTTATATCTTTTAGCCAGGTTTGGTTATTGATACTCTATGTTGTTTAATTGTTTGTAGGATGAACCCGCAGAAGAGAGTGATGGAGATCTTGGTTTCGGCTTGTTCGATTAGTTGTCTCCTTGTTTTTTGTTTTAACTCTTCCTATGTTCTATTGCTTTAGTTGCTTTGAGATTTTAAGTTTTGACATTTCGACACTACTACAGTTTGGCCATTTATATCATGTACTGGAGTTATAGCAATTGGCTCACTACCTTCTTTGTAGTTTAGGAGAGTTATCTTATGTACAAATACATGAGTTTCTCTCTTGTTTTCTTGCTATTGAATTTGATTTTTGGATTCAGCTTCATCTTTCTTTCCTACCAAATCTCAGTCTATTTACTAATTTGATCTTGAAATAAAAAAGAAAAACTAAAATCTGAAAAGATTTGAACATCTGTTACAACGTGCTAGTCCAGTTAATATGCAGGTTTCATGAACCATGGTTTACTGATTATTAGAGCATCCGCAGTGGTGTATCCTTGCGTGGGGTGTATCTATTTTAAAATACAGAAATAATGCAAAAGTTGTCTCTCTCTTCACACTTGGGTGTAAGTTTACACTCGGGTGTAAGACACTCTATCTCTCTCTCTTTCTTTCTCTCTCTCTTTTCTCTCTCACTTTAAATTATAATAATAAAAAAAATCTTACACCCCTCCCTCACACTTACACCACTGCGGATGGTCTTAAGGTTTATAAGTTTTTTACTGATTATATTAATGTTGTCAAAAAAATAAAAATAAAAACTGATTTTTGAACTGTAAAGAACCTTCTACTTAGTCCAGAGGCTTTCGTTTTTTTTTTTCTTTCTGATTGACTCGTTTTAGCTGAAAATTAGAACGTCGGTTAGTGCCGGCGGAGAATGTTCGGAGTTGAGTCAGTCAGAGAGTTCTGATATACCAAACGGCTACTTTGAAGCTGAAGTCGCACATGGAACTCGATCTCGATTCGTTCCTCGTTTCGGACTCAGACTCCGATTCCGATTTGGATTCTTCCTCCGTTCCTCACCGTACAGTCGACGAAATTCTCAACGCGTCAAGTTCTTCATCTCCTTCGTCTTCTCCTCCTTCTTCACCGCCGTCAATTAACCGGCGGAAACAAGATGATCCGAATCGCCGCTTATCAGAAGCCCTTACTAACGTTGCGGTGGTGAGACCTGAATCTGAATTACATCGCGGATTTCCTCCGACGCGGCGAAATTCGACATCTTCTTCTTCTTTGAGACAGTTGCCTTTGCCGTCGCTATTCGCAGGAGTAAGGTCGAATGTGAAGCCTGGTGCGGCGCTTGCGGCGGCTGTGGCTGCTTCTAGATTGGTTCCTACACCACACGCTGCTATTATCAAGTCAAGGAGAGCTAGCAGTGCGAGTAGCGAATTGCTGCAGCAGGTTTCAAATCAAGAGGAAGAAGATCAGGAGGTACTTTCTTCTAATGGAGATTCTGTTGGAGTTGCTGCTGGATCCGTTTCTGTTGATGATTTTCGTTCTTTCGGTGGAGAATCTCGGATGGAGGATGAGGATAATGGAGTTGCTGGTGTGGCAAGTCAAGAAGACGAAGCTAAAGTAATGGAAGTTCAAGCTAGTGATATTACTGAGAGCTTAGTTGATACCCGTGATTATGAGGCAAACTCAAAGCCTGACTTAGTCACTGCCTCCTCTGGTTTTGATGCTGAAGGAAACGTCTCTGCAGAGCAAGATGCGAAGACAACAACGGAAGCCGGAAATGCTGCTGTGGATGACGACAAAGATGAGACAATGTTAATCGCTTCTTTGGTGGAGTCTTCAGAATCTCAACGTTTGAATGATTCTGAGGGGAAGTGCGATGATGCTAAGGTAAGCAATGATGAGGACTCAAGTGTTGGAGATGTTAAGAGTGATAAATCAGATATAATTATACCGGATTCTAAAGAAGAGGGAGGTGATGCTTTTATTCCTGATGACGGAAGCTCAATGTCTGGCATTTCAGAGCTTGTAGAAGAGAGGATTGTTGAGTTGGAAAACGAAAGGATGAGTAAAAGAGAGAAACTAAAATCGCAATCTTTTAGAAAGCAGCTTGTGTTGGCTGAAGAGTTTGAGAAGAAACAAGCATATACTGGTTTGCATTGGGAGGAAGGGGCTGCTGCTCAGCCAATGAGACTTGAGGGTGTTAAGATCGGTTCGACGAATTTAGGTTACTTTGATGTCGATGCTGACAATGTCATCAGCCGGACCATTTCATCGCAGGCATTTAAGCGAGACCATGGTTCTCCTCAGGTTTTGGCTGTTCATTTGAATTACATTGCAGTGGGTACGTCCAAGGGGGTCATTGTCGTTATACCAAGTAAATATTCCTCTGATACTGCAGATCAAATGGAATCAAAGGTTGTCTTTTACATCATTGCTTTTGTCCATTTTAACCTTACCTGGGTAGATATATGCTCAAACTATTAATATTTATGTTTACAAAATTTTAGATGATTTGGCTTGGTTTACAAGGAGAAAGGTCCCAGTCCCCGGTTACCTCAGTTTGCTTCAATCAGATAGGGAGCCTCCTGCTAGCAGGTTATGGTGATGGACATGTTACAGTTTGGGACATGCAGAGAGCGTCGATAGCAAAAGTGATCACTGAACATACTGCACCAGTAGTATATGCCTTTTTTCTAGGCCGGGATTCTCAGGGTTCTCGCCTATTTAAAGTTATTACAAGTGATACTAAGGGTGTTGTTTTCAAACACACTTTTTCTTGGGCCCTGCTGTTGAACATGTATACAGTGAAAACGCAGGTAAATTTATTATTCTAAGATAATATTTACTTTTGATTTTGTGTCTGTCTTCTACTGGTTTCTTGTTTAGCCTTACTAACTTTGAGGAGTGGATTTGTACACCTTATTTTGATTGCATCAGTGTCTCCTTGATGGACAAAAAAATGGAACAGTCCTCTCCGCATCACCTTTGCCTGATGAAATTTTTGGAAGCTCCTTGGCCTCTTCTAAGGGGGGTAACTCTGCAGTTCCATCCAGTAGTATAAGTAGCATGATGGGAGGTGTTGTTGGGGTCGATTCAACTTGGAAGCTCTTTAATGAGGATTCAACTTCGGTGGAAGAAGGTGTTGTCATATTTGCCACCTATCAAACTGGACTAGTGGTAAATATTCCAGATATTTGTTCATAGTCAATTTACTGGTTACGCTTAATGATCCTCTTCTGTTTTCGTCAGGTAAAGCTCATTCCAAATTTGGAGGTTTATGCACAACTTCCTCGGCCAGAAGGGGTTCGAGAGGGTTCCATGCCATACACTGCCTGGAAATGCTCAACAGGTAATTCTTCTCCTGGTATAAC